CTTGGCGCGCGGGCGCCGCCCGCCGGCCGGCCGCGCCAGCGCTACCGTTAGGTCGGGACTGTCCCCCTACTGGCGGCATTCTGGACGAAGAATGGAACAGAGTCAAAAAATACTCCGAGAATGTTCAAAGATAGTCCACACATCGTCCCCCGACTATCTGATGATCCCCCCTGTAGACGGACAGGCCCGACTTGACGCTACCGGCACAGATCGGCTACACGCAAAAGTGACCTGCACAGTCGAGGCTGGTCGGTCGACCACGTTCGCGAACCATGTTTCGCGAACCATGCCTTGGACATTCCTATGGCAATGTGACCCTCGCCCGCGTGTGGTTTCAAATCAGCCCTGACTGTAGGCAAGTGACCTCCGGTGAACGGTTTCGGGGGGCCTGCGGGGGGCCCAAAAGTAACGCGCCAGCCAATGCCGTGGACACCCCGTGTGGGTCCGACCCGAAAATCACTCTGGGGAAAGGTCACCTTGTGCGCAACCCGACAAAGACGCCCAGCCCGTCGGGAGGGCAACGCCCGCGCAGCACCCGTATCTGGCCCCCCTCCACCCCAAAATGATTCGAATGTCAAGAATAGACTGCCCCAGCTGGCTGGCCAGCGGAGCGGGGCGGGGAGAAACGGGGACAGGAATAGCGCCATGGGAGGAGGCCGACGATTCCGATCTCTGCCATCGCGGCTTCTCAATATTGGCATGCTTCTTCACTTTCGACCACCGAATGCCCATCTTAGGCGCCAGGGTGCGCCGGGACACAAACCGACCGCGGGCGATTATGAACCCCCTGGGATAATTGAATCCGGGGTTTTGGCGGGGATAATACAATATTTTCCTGGGGAGCTAGGTTATGATGACGATGACGATGATGATGATGATGATGATGATGATGATGATGATGGTGACGATGATGATGATGATGCTGGTGACGACGGCACAAGACTCACTCGAGAGATTTCGAGGCTCGTGACTAACCAGGCGCACGACACAAGGCTGACTCGAGAGATCTCGAGGTTCGCGGCTACTTGCCAGCAGGCGCACGGCACAAGGCTGACTCGAGAGATCTTGAGGCTCGTGCCCTAGCAGGCGCCTACAGTTTGCCAGCGTAAGAGAGGTCCTTGGCCGATCTGGCCAAGAAACCTCTCTTGCGCTGGGCTTCGAACCGCTCTCCCATGCCAGCACGGCGTCCTTTGGAGCCGTCCTTGCGCGGGAGACACTTGGTGCAAAGCTGGGCGGCGGCGCTAGCCGCTAGCCCCCTCGTAGGTGGCGTACTTCGGCTCTGCCGCCGTGGGGCCCTTGCAAAGGTTGGACTTGTGCTCGGCCGTGGCCTTGGCCCTGGCATTGGCCTTGGCCATCGCCAAGTCGTTGTCGCCGGCATCCTTGAGTTCACTGATTAACTCGTTGCCTCGAGCGACCACGGCGTTGAGGTTCGCTGGAATTGCCGGCCCTCGCCTCGGATCTTGCGCAAGGCGCGCTCGATCCAGCGACTCGTCCACAGGCCGCAGCCCCAACCGTTTTCTCGGCACCGCCCGCTGCTCGGTGCTGGGCAATTCTCGCCAGGGCCAACGGCGCCGAGCTCGCGGGGGATCCTCGCGGCGGCCACGGGAGGCCACGCGCGAGCCCTTCCCGCGATTCCCGAGGAGGGCGAGGTGCACTTCGCTCGGCAGCTCCCGAGAAAAGTGAACCCTATCTTCCTCATCAGAAATCGCGGGGTGTTGGCGTGAGTGCGCATGTGGCCCTTTTAAGCCTGCTTGGCGTTCTCAGGCGGCCGCTCGAGGGCGTCGCGGCACCTCGACGCAGCCCCCGTCGGGGCAGCCTTGGGGAGGGGGGCATTGCAGCAGCCGCCGACCTTGAGGTGCGCGTAGTGCGCGGGCGCCTCGAAGTGCGCGCAGACCAGCACGTGCTGGGCCTTGTCGACCCTCTCGGCCCAGCGCTTCCGCCCCTCGGGCTGCCGGGCGGCGGGCGCGCCCTCGCCCTGGCCCTCTCGAGCCCAGGGGGCGGCCACCGTGGACTCGACCGCCAGAACGGCGTCGCGGACGCCCACGCGCTCCTCGATCTCGCCCAGCAGCGCGTGCACTGTGCCCAGCTCGAGGGCGTCGCCCTTGACGATCTGCTCGCAGTTCATGTTCGCGCACTCCTTGGCGGGCTCGGCGCGGCGAGCCTGTCTCGTCTGGCGCCAGTCGAGCTTCTGCGGCCCGGGGAACTTGCAGTCCTGCTCGATCGGGACCTGTGGCGCTCGGGATTCGCAGGCGCTCGCTGCCTTCCGCCTGCTTCCGCTTCGCGTTGCTTCCGCCTGCTTCCGCTTCCGGTTCTTTCTCTGCCCGCCAACTACCGCCTGCATCCGCCGCCCCAGGCACGAGCAAGGGGGGGGCTAACTAGCGCCCGTGACCCCCCCCCCAGCCTCGCTGCTCTCGATCTGGGAGATCGCCGCGGCCCCCCCCTCGAGGACGCGCAAACGGCACTCGTCCTCGGGGGCCCAGGACTCGCCAGACGTCCTGCACGCTGCCGAGCCTGCCCTCGCGGACGCCCTCCTCGGTGACGCGCGCCATCTTGCCGTGCCAGGGGGGCCCTCGCAAGCCTCGAGGCCGTTGTTATGCTTGGCCTTGCGCTGCTTCTTGGCGTCCTTCTCAACTTGCTCCTTCTGCTTGGGCTTCTCGGAGAAGCTCGCGCGCGCCTTCGGCGGCCTGCCTGCGAGCTTCGCCCTGGCCACGCTTCTGATGGGGTGCTCGAGCAAGGTCTCGCCGCCAGTCTTGGCCTTCTCGCGCTGCCACCCACGTGCGAACGTGCTTGCTTTGGAACTGGCCAGCGAACTTGGACGCCCACCTGCTCCTGCGCTTAGCTGTCCGTTTTAGCTTGGTCCTGTTCTCGAGGGCACGCGGGAAATGGATGGCCTTGACCCTCTCCTCTGGCGGTTTGAGCGATACCTTCTGCTCGTCGGCGATCTCTAGGTCCAGCTCCCGGAGATCCAGGAGGCAGGGGTTCTCGCCGCCCTGCTCGCAATCCCTCGGCAAGTCGCCGTTGTGGAAGCAGTTGCCGTCGAGGGCGCCCCACTCGGGCACGGGCGGCGCGCCCTCGGGCCAGCTCTGGACGCCCTCGAGGCGCACTTTCGCCAGGCTGTTCTCGATGCCGCGGCCGGGCTCGATGGAGTGGCCCCACGGCCCCATGCCCGCCACGACCTTGAGCTCGCCTTGCTCGGTCGGCCGGGCCGCGAGCATCCGGTTGGCCCGCGGCCCTTGAAGCGGCGCCGCGCCCTTGTTCTGCTCGCGGAAGCGGGTGGGCCTCGGAAGCGCAGTAGAAGCACTCGTAGGGCCCCGATAGTGTCGGGGACTTGTACTCCTTCTGGGGCTTGGCCTTGGCCTTCTGGGCCCAGTCTTGCTCCATGGCTCAGCGCATCTCAGCCTTGACCTCTCGGATCTTGGCCTTGAGCTGGCCGCGCTCGCGGGCGTCGGGCTCTTGCACGAAGCACGTTACGTCGAGGGCCATGGGCGCGTAGATGACATTCTTGAGCCACGCTCGCAGCGCCACTGCCTCGGCCCGCTGGCTCGAGAGGCAGTCTGCGAACACGAGGCCCTGGCCGTGCTCCTACTCGATGAAGTCGGTGGCCCAGCCTGCCGCCAGCTCGCCCGCCCAAGCTCTCAGCTGCCCCCGGGCGTCGATGGCCTCGAAGACCCTCGCGCGTTCCGCCTCGGAGAACTCGCGCAGAGCGTTGCGCCAGCCCATGAGCAATGCTCTTAGGGGCTCGCCTGCTCGGAAGCGCTCCGTCTCGCCATCGCCCCGCTATTAGGCGGCGTCGCGCCGCCAGGTGCCCTCCTCGAGGTTCACGTCGCTGACTCGGCAGTGCCCTGCGCAAGGGACAGGGGTCTCCCGCGCTCGTGTAGGCCTGCTCCACTTTTCCTGCATGCGGTCGGGGTGGTCTGCCAAGTACTTGGCCTTCTCCGCCTCGAAGGCGGCCTTGTCCTGCTCGTCGCGCGTCTCGCGGGAAGTCTTGTGGAGGTTCTGGATGCGTTACTTGGCGCCCGCGGCGCGATGCCTTTTGGGCGCCCGAAATGCGCGCGGAAAGAATGGGCGCGCTGCCCCGCGACAGATCATGCCCAAACCAACGGGGGCCGCTGTCGGGCAAGCGGCCTTCGGTCTCGAATGGGCGCGGGCCGCGGCGACGCCGACAGCGAATCCGGTTAAATCTGAACAGGAACTACTGTTGGGCATTGTACCCTTTCCTTCCGTACCGATTTCACCTGTGCCCAGACCTCGCTCTCGTGGACGCACGCGTGCTCCTCGCCCCGGAGCTTGAGCCAGAGCGCGGCGGCGTCGACGACGACCGCACTCGCGCTGGCCCTGTGCTGGGCGACGGTCTCGGGGCACCCGACGAAGAGGCCGGGGCCCTGGGAGCCGCCCCTCGCCACCAGGTGCACGAACCTCGTGGTGGTGGTAGTAGTAGTAGTAGTAGTAGTAGTGGTGGTAGTAGTAGTAGTAGTAGTAATAGTAGTAGTAGTGGTAGTAGTAGTAGTTGTCGTAGTAGTAGTTGTTGCTGTTGTTGTAGTTGTAGTAGCAGTAGTAGTGTTGTAGTACTCGAAATATTCGTAGTAGTAGTAGTAGTAGTAGTAGAAGTAATAGTAGCCGTAGTAGTAGTTATTCGTTCGTAGTAGTGGTAGGGGTAGTGGCACTACTACAACTACTACTACTACTACTACTACTACTACTACGACTACGACTACGACTACTACTACTACTACTACTACTACTACTACTACGACTACGACTACTACTACTACTACTACTACTACTAACACTACTACTACTACTACTACTACTACTACTACTACTACTACTACTACGACTACTACTACTACTACTACTACTACTACTAATACTAAGTGCAATAGTTACTAGTAGTAGTACCTGGTAGTAGTGCCTGGTGGTAGTAGTCGAGCCTGGTAGTACTAGTACCTTGTAGTAGTAGTAGGAGTAGTAGTACCTAATCGTCATAGTTACTAGTTGTG